AATTTATAGAAGTGGTATCAGAGCCAATGAGGGTTAAGACGGTGAAGGTGATGGTGGGCTGTATGATAAATGCAAATTAGAGAACACTGGAAAATAGGTCTCTACTAGACAGACAAAATGTTGAGGTCTGAATTAGCTGTTATGACTTAAGAAAGATGTTGGAGTCTGTTACCAGATTTGCCCAATACTCTGGGGTATGCTCATTTATCAGGGTTACCCTTATGGGACTGGGGGAAGGTTAACAGTTCTATCAGTGTGCTGTTGGTGCTTACTTGGGCTCTCATATGGAGCTGAATTCTCCCTGCTGCCAATTCCCCCTCCCACTGGAGCTCTCCTGCAGGAACTAGGTTCCTCAGGATGGGGTTCTTCCCACCTTAGCAACACACACAGACACTCACACACACTAGTCAGAGCACGTCTGAGAGGACTGGGTACTCAGCACTCACAAGCTGACCCCCTCATATGTCCCTGGACTCAGCTGGCTGGGTTTCACAGCAATGCCACACTGCACCCTCATGTGCCTTTGGACTCCGTGGGCTGGATTAAACAGCACTTTAAGCTGCCATCCTCATAAGCCCCCAGGTTCAGCACCCCCTATCCCCACTTTCACACCACAGTCATTCACAGGTAAACCACACGATGAGCAAACCCCACAGGATTTTGGGCACTACAGGGATCTTTTGCTTGGGTACAAGAAGCGTTGTTGCAGAGCGAATGGGGAAGCCAAAACAACACCCCTTAAGGAAGAGTGAGCAAAAGAGAAAGAAAGAGAGAGAAGCAACCAGCTTAACAATGAAAGTGATTTATTTCTGAGTAGTGAATAGATATCAAACAGTTACAATATTAAATCTAACAATTACAATATTAAATCTAAATTGAAACTGATTACAAACGTTAGGTAACCATATAACAGTTTACACAGGGCAGGGTCAGGAGGCTATGCTTAGAGAGATAGTTGAGAGAGAGAGAAAGAGAGAGAGAGAGAAAGAGAGAGACCTCACCACTCCACGGAGCTTGCACTGATCGGGGTTCCCAGATGATGATGGTAGCCGGGGGTCCAGAGGGCAGGAGAAAAGCAGGACAGAGCCCCCAGCACGATCAGACAGGAGATGAAGAAGTCTCAATGGAACTGATGCAGTTTAAGTCCAGGTATCAGAACAGTTTTCTTGGGGCAAGGATAGGAGTTTTATAGAGATAGTTCAAAGAGAAAGAGGAGAGACAATAGAGACTGATCACCCCTGGTTATGGGTGATGTTCCTTGAACGAGCTCACAATGCAACTTGGCAGTTTCAGTATTTTAGATGTCAATAGGATAGTTACTAGAATTGGTCTGATAATGACTAATTTGGGTGTGAGCAGGCCTAGGTTCATTAGCATCTGGAGCAGGGATTTCCCATCAGGCAGTGCTTCTCTGCTTTCGGTGTCCCATAGTTCAGTGCGGTTCCTGCCTTGGAAGAGCTGCTCTCCATTCTGTATGCTAATGAGATGTCCCTCTGTTCCATCTTTAATGCAAATGAGGCTGGGGTGTTTCCTTAATTGTATCACCCTTGTCTGAAGCAGTTTAGGTGTGTCTTCCCCCGGCCTTTTCTTTGCTTTGTCTTTGATTCTAGCAGAGGCCTGAGGGAAGGGAATGGTTTTCCATGAATGTCACTCCCTGACTCCCCAAGAGCACAAGGCTGACAGGCGACCATGTTCTGGTTCCCCAAGAATCACAGAGCTGGTGGGTAACAAGTCATTATGAATGTTTCTCTGAAAATAGCCACTCAATGAGCAGTAGCAGTCAAAAAAGCTAATGGGATGTTAAGAACCATTAGGAAAGGGATAGGTAAGACAGAAAGCATCATAAAGCTGCAATATAAATACCATGGCAAGCTCATATCTTGAATAGTGTTTGCAGTCAGGTCACCCCATCACCCGAAAATATATTTTAAATTAGAAAAGGTACAGAGAAGGGCTATTAAAATGATTAGGGGTCTGAAACAGGAGGCGAGATTAAAATGACTGGGATTTTTCAGCTTGGAAAAGAAGCAACTAAGCAGGGATATGATAGAGGTCTATAAAATCTTGATTGGTATGAAGAAAGTGAAGAAGGAAAGGTTACTTAAACCTTGTGTTATGTGAAGAACTAGGGGTCAGCCAATAAAAGTAATAAGCAGCAGATTAAATACAAGGAAGTATTTTTTTACACAGCATGAAGTCAGCCCATTGAACTCTTTGGGGATACCGTGAATGCCAAAACTATAAAACAAGGTTTTAAAAAAATGAAACTGGATCCGTTCCTGCAGAACTTGGTTTCATTAACAAGTCTGACACCTTTAATCAAGATTTAAACAAAGACCTGATCTGAATGTGCCACTACATACCACACCCTAACGACATAAAAAGCAAAACACCGGGTACTTATAGTCCACTCTGTTAGCCTCATTTGGCACGATCTAATTGACAATATTTTTTCCTATTTTTTTCCTTATCTTTCCCTCCCCATCCCCTATTTCTCTGCTATTTATTTGTACCCTAGACCCCTTACTCCATTCATCTGAAGTGGGTTGTGCCCATATAAGCTCATACCACCATCTACATTTTTTGTTAGTCTCTAAGGTGCTGCAGAACTGTTTGTTGTTTTTTCAGTTACAGACTAACGCAGCTACCCCTCTGAGACTTTTAGGTCCATCAATGGTTATTAGCAGGGCTCGACAAATTATACAATCTACTCACCCGTGGTGAGTAGATTGTAACCCGGAAGAGCCGGGTTTGGGCGATCCGCGCATGCGCAGTTTGCCGGACAGCATGGCTGGCAAGCAGGGCTTGCCGCGGTTCGGCGAGCCCTGGTTATTAGCCAGGATGGGCAGGGATGCAACACCATGCTCTGAGTGAACCCGCTTCTGACCAATAGAGGCTAGAGACTAGATGATAGGGGATGGATCACTTGATCATTGCCTGTTCATTCCCTTTCCCTCTGAAGCACCTGGAACTGACCTCTGTCCGAAGACACGATACAGAGCTATGTGGATCTTTAGTCTGACTACTCTGATGTAAAATTATAACAAAAATGTTCATCTTGGGAGAGTTTCTGTAGTCAGAACCTCTCAAGATAACAACGATGTGAGACAACAATCTTGTCAAACAATGTATTTTAGAAATCTTGGTCTACTAGGACACATGTATTTATATAAGTTTCCCAGTCACAAATCTAGCATCCTGGAGCAAAGTCACTAAAACACAATCCAAAGAAATGTTCCTTTAGCATGCCCCTCACTTTTCCCTCCACCACATCCCACTGTTGTTCTCAGTCAATAGAAACTCAGGGTACATCTACACTGCACATTTATTTCAAAATAAGCTATTCTGGAATAGATATTTTGAAATAGCTTATTTTGAAATAGCACATCTACACTGCAGGGAAGACTCAAAATTAATCAAGGCAGGCTTCCCTAATGTAGACATGTTATCTCGATTTAGAGCTCCAGGTGACACTGGGGAGGAATAACTTAGCCCCTCACCAGGGCCGTTCTATTTCGAAATAGCAGCAGTGGAAGATCTCCACACGCCTTCTTTTGAAATAGCTATTTTGCAATAAGTGTTATTCCTCGTAGAATGAGCTTTACAGATTTCAGAATAAGCCGCCCGTTATTTCAAAATAACGGAATGACAGTGTAGACGTTCGTACAATTATTTCAAAATAATGCTAGTTATCTCTAAATAACAGTGCAGTATAGGCGCACCCTCAGAGTTCATAGGTGCTTTTGCATGAATTCACCTCCCAGAAGGTGTCAGAGGGGAAGGCAACTTGCTTGTTTCTCTAGCCGCTCACCACTTGCTCTGCCCACTGTTATTATTTGAGCCATTGTTCACTCCACTCTGTTCACGTAGGAATGTAAAAATCACGTTTAGCTAGTTAATCGATGAAATGTTAAGTTTACCTCTGTTTAATTGGTTAACTGGTTAAACTGGTGGGGAGGTGAAGCTTACTGGTTAGCTATTAACATCCCTAGTTGCAGATGTCCCCGCACCATAACTTTCTGCTCCCACTTGCCTCTGTGACCTCTGAAAATTGGTCTCTTGAGGTTTCAGCTCTCAGTGAAGAAACCTCATAGACTGTCTCTTCCACAGAAACACTATCCTTCACCGAGACTACCAGTGATTTCAGCTCTAGCAGTAACTTAAAAACAAAACACTTTTAATTCTGACTTTAAACAGTGGAGAGGGGCAGGTCAAATAGTACTTGTGATTCTTAGACAAACTCAAGTAGAACACCTGTTTCCACCCTTTGTCCCCACTGGGGTCTGATCTCAGAATCTCCTGTCCCCACTGAGGTTTGACATCAAAATGCTCTACTCAAACAGTGCAACCTGTCTCAATTGAAAGAGACGGTCTCAATAAGGACAGACTCAATAGAGTTTTGCTGCCCTTTACTCATACAATAAAGATAAAATGTTATCCTGACATTCAAATGTTTTGTAAATCAACACAAGCCAAAACGGATCACTTATGCAATGCAGCAGTGGAGCTAGTTGACAACTAGGGAGGTACTGGGGAAATTCAAGGGTGCACAACCCCCAAGGTGAGGTCTGGCAAACTCCCTGCTTCTGGGTCTTGGCTTAACTTTCCAAGAGCGCTTAGTTATGAAGGTCCAACTTGAGATAAGTTGACCTGATTTTCAGAAGTCTGGAGCATCTATCTCCTGAAAAATCCCCTTTGAAATGCTCTAATTGTGCATCCAAAAAGCCAGTAGTGGCTTTTGACATTTAAGTCCTTTTCATGTAGTTAAAATAAGCTGATGCCCAACCGAAAACAAGTTTAACATGGAAGCACTATATCAGACAAAAATGGACAAACTATCAGGCTAAAATCATGCTATTGGTAGCTGGTACCTGCTGGAGCTGATACCTGACTCACTCCAATAGAACAGAATTCAATGGGATGCTTGTCCAAGCACAGCACAAGACTAGTCTGTTCCTTGTACCCTACTGGACTCTGTAGCGATTATACTCTTTACATACCGGTCTTCTCTTGTACAGCAGATATATAAAATGCAAGAAGTTGACAACTAAGAACACTGAATTCCAGATCATTATATCCATGGCACAACGGTAGAATGTAGCCCAGACGATGAAAAGTACACATCCTGTCAAAAATAAAATGGTAAGTGAAATAATGCTGATCAATAATGTATAAAATATTTCTGCCAGATTATATATACTCTGCATTTTTTTGCTATAAATAATAGAGCCCTATGTTAGATTTCAGTAATTACATTCAGAAGTGATGCATTTCACAAGTTTCAATAGTTCGGTACTATAGATTTAGGTAAGCGTTAAGTATAACAGAGTTTACAAGAAGCATTTTAACTAAGAAAAAACAGCTACTTAATATAGATGGCATTCCACTGATTTGAGACAAAAAATGATAGGCTTTCATTTCTAGGTCTGCAGCCTGACAAACAAAATATAAATATGCACGCACTATTTACCTGGAGTGCTCTAAATTCCATTCACAGATATTTTGAGTTTTAAAAGAAACATCATAACATCTTATGGCAGAAAAAGAAATGAATCTGCCTCTCTGCTGTGAGTTATGGTATTGTTTAAGATATAATTTGTTAGTAAAATAAAACAACTGATGAGTATCTAGTACATATTTTCCCAAATACTAATTCCTCTACTCTGATTAGTGAGAACTGCTACACAAGATAAGATTCTAAATTATGCAGCTCTTACAGTATTACTCTTTCAAGTTACGCCATCTCATCTTGAAATATTCATACTCCATACATATTTGCCAGTTCAAAACTAAAACCCAAATCAGTGAACATGCAGAACACCTGTTGATTTCACTGATAAAAGGTCTTGAAAGATTGAAATTCCTTGCCATTAGAGAAGCTCATTTTGGTAAAATAGCTTTTTGTAAGTTTGAAGAGATATGGAACAATTACTGTAAAATCTTTAATACGCTCAACATAAAGATCTGGTAAATAAATAGATTCTTTCAAACACTGAACATGGGTCTATTTTTACAATAAGGTATTTCTTAAAAACACAGAGTCATGACTTTTCACAACATTTCCTCAGGGTCATGAAGACTTTGGTTCTACATACATTTCAATGGCATAGAAATAGTTCAGGAACCCTGTGAGGGTATGTCTATACTAGCCCTGTAGTTCGAACTAGGGTGGCTAATGTAGGCATTCAAACTTGCAAATGAAGCCTGGGATTTAAATATCCCGGGCTTCATTTGCATGTTCCTGGGTGGGCGCCATTTTTAAATCCCCTTAGTTCGAACTGACTGCCCGCGGCTACACGTGGCAGTCAGAAGTTAATTCGAACTAAGTCCTTAGTTCGGATTAACTGTTACTCCTCCTGCAATGAGCTGTAACAGCTCCTCATTGCAGGAGGAGTAACAGTTAATCCAAACTAAGGATTTAGTTCGGATTAACATTGCAGGAGGAGTAACAGTTAATCCGAACTAAGGACTTAGTTCGATACCCTAAGTGATTCAGGTTATAAGACAAGGGTGGGGAACCTTTTTTGGGTCAGAGGCCATTGAACCACGGAAAAATCAGTCAGGGGCTGCACATGAGCAAGAAACAAAAAACCTACCCCTCACCAGCATAGTCTCCTCAATGCTGGGGGGAGCTCCGAGCCACAGGGCTGGATCCAGACAAGGTGGGGGCTGAATCCAGCCTCCATGACTTAGGTTCCCCACCCCTGTTATAAGACTTTAAAAATATATGAGTATGAGGCTTTGTGCCCCACCCGATTGAAAGGAGCTTCCTCGGAACATCTGCAAAACTAACTCATTATCCTTCTTCTAATTACTCCTTAAAATTCATATTTTTTCATGAAGACTGCAAAACACATGATAACTATTAGCATCTGGTATGCTAAAACTGCTGCCTATCAAGCTGGCTAATATTGTTTCATTCTTTCCTTGCATTCCCTTGTTTGTCTCCACCTGGTTTGAAATTTTTACAAGTGCACAACTGAGTATTACTCTGAGTAATTACACAGAGTGAACACTTCAGTAGCAAATGAAAGATGACAGGCAGGCTTAGGTTAGCTGGGAAGGGTCTTGAAAGTGACACATGGATTATGTTTGATGCAACAGAGAAGAAAAAGTATGGTCAAAGCAATGGACTGTGAAAATTATTTTTGCAGCATCATTTTGAATTGATATGAGTGGAGCAAGACTGTACTTGTCAAGTATCGAGAAGCAAGATAATAGCCTGGATGAGCATTTTAGATATGTGGATGGACAAGAAAGCCCATATCTTAGAAATGTTATGCAAAAGGAATCTGCAAGATTTAGGTACAGCCTGGAGGCAAAGACCTAGAGAGAGATCAAAGTTGGAGAGGATACCAACATTACAGGCCACAGGGACAGCCAGGATGGTTGTGTGATCTACAATGACCAAGTAACGGTGTGAGGGACAGAGAGATTAAGATTAAGAGATCTGTTTTAACAGTGTTCAATTTGAGCTGACAACTAGACGTCCACAAGAAAACATGTGCAATAATACATGTTCACACTTTGCTCCCATCGTGTATGATGTCATCTCAGAGGTCATATTTTAAGAAAAGCTGGGGCCAGTCACTATGTGAAGCTCTCCAAGGAAACCTTAGGAAAGATCAGTTATACCTGTAATATCTATTATATCAGTGATCTGTGGGTGCAAGAAAGTTATACTGTGGTAGGGTATAAATCTATCTGCTGTAATTGAGCTCTGCTTTCTTCATTTTCTCAAATTTTGGGGTTACTTTTTTTAATCCATACTTTGTTCAAGCATAGATTTCCTTTTCTGAAGAGTTAGGAGAGAGTGCAGAAAAAAAAAAACAGATAAAGAAAGGGAAAACAAAATACAATAAAGCCCATACTACACAAACAAACCCTATTCCTCCACACGTAATCATTTGTTTCAGCAATTGCACAGGTGCTCAAAATTCTCTAAACAGTTTTTGTAGTGCTAAGAAACTGGGTCAGTATAACCTGCAATGTCAAAATGTTTGACTGAGCCCCAAATCATGCTAAAGCATCTCCAACAAAATAAAGCAACTAAATATGATGGAATACCACCCACCACCAGAAAACAAACAAGCCTAGGATAATTATTTCTATTGGTCAGTAAATGGAATTTCAGCCGCATTAAAGTTGTAACAAGTAAATTTTGTTTGGCTTACCTATAGTAAGCAAACCTCGCAGGAAAATCATATGGAAATTCAGAGTGGTTGGAATAACCAATCCAATTGCAAAACAAATATTTGCCACATGAAAAACCAGATGATGAATCTCTTTCCAGTTTTCACACGCAGTCTCATTGACAGGTGGAAGGGTGGCATTTTTTAAATCTGGTATAAAACCTAATGGGGTCATGGTGAACGAAAGTATTTCTGTGGTATTCATCTTGCAGAACACTATAAAAAATCCAAAAGAGGCATTAAGAGTAACAAGCAGCAATACAACAGAAAAGCAATGATTTGTGCCATGAGATTAAAGGGAATATGCCAGTGTTTCTTAAACTGAGGCAGTCGAGGCGTGGCGCGGAGAACAGAATTCAAAATGGCCACCCTTAAAGGGGCAGGTAATTTTTTTTCCTCAATAACTTTTCCGCCAACCCTCCCCTTCCAAAAAAACTTTGTTTTGTTTTGCTCAACAAAAAATCCTTGATGTTCCTCATAAAAAAAAATTATTGTTTGGTGTTCCTTAGCCTCAAAAACTTTAAGAAACACTGGTATATGCTCTCCTTCATGTGCATACATATTTTTAATATTAATATTAACATAAAATTCTATACACACTTCAAAAGTTAAACTAAGTCCAAACGCATGAAAACATTTTATGGTCACATTAGGTGAAGACTAAATGCTCAAAGAATGGATAAAGGTCAATGTTTTGACAGACAGCACACACAGTATATTATAAAATACAGGCCCAGTGACTTTCATAAGACTGAGAGGGTACAGGGGTCCACCCATGCTGAGCAACTTGCAAGAACTGCACCATAATGGTATCTTCTGCTGCTTGTTAACTGATCCTTATGACCATTCATGCATACTACTTCTGCATCAGAGGATACATGTGCATACCAAGATCAATGTATTGCTTTGGTACCTGTACAATAGCAAAGCTAAATATAAATTCAGAGGAATCTGATATCATAAGCTGTTATTAAAGAAAACTTGCAACAACAATAAAGATTTAGGTCTTTTAATTCTTTTTCACAATGTATAAGGTTGTTCTGAAAGGTCTTTCTTTCTTTCTTTCTTTCTTTCTTAGGAGTAAAGAGAAATTATTTGTACGGTAAAAAACAAAACAAGAAACCCCACATATCTGATTTTTCCCAGTTTTGAGACTGATCTCCAGGGAATCCTAGTATGTATGTTGTAAACTGTCACTCCATACG